TTATACACAGGGTGTATATTAATTATCTTAGTAGCTTTACTTGTGAATAGAAACTGTATGAAAAGATACAGACACACACTCTGTGCATGATCTACGAGAGAAAATCTGAAAGTTTGTTCTGAACATTACAAACATTCAGTGTGGCCACCATTCATCACATATGACGTTCAAGACATATTCGAGCTCCATCCATGTACACTGCAGTATGTCAGTGTCAGCTGCTGCCAATAGTGGCTTTAATTCTGTTCTTAAAATTACCGATGCTCACTGGAATTTGTAGTCTTTTTAAGTATCCCCACAAGCAATCATCACAGGGTGTGATATCTGATGACATGGCTAGGCAAGAGATGGGACCAACAAAATCAATTCATTGGTTCGGGAAACGCTGATTAAGAGACACACATGCACTCAAGCTCTAATCTGGTGTTTCGGCATCTTGCTGGAAGAACATGGCACATTCCAGTTCCTGTAACTGTCAACAGACAATTTTTTCCAGCATATCCCGGTAATTTCTGGATGTCACAGTCACTTTGGGAAAGTAAAAGGGTGTGTTGCAACTTCAGTCGATTTACGTGGACTGCTGACAAAGACCTCATGTGCTTGTTTTACATTCTCGCCAGACACTACTGGATGTACTGCACCTTTCTTATGCAAAAAGCTCCCAGTCTGCTTAAATTGTACCAAGCATGCATCAGTGGTATTGACAGTGGCATCTTCTGTGACACTGGGGAATGTCTTTAGACCTGTGTGTCAAACTCTTTTGAGACACTACTTCATGCACTGTACCCTCTCTTACGGGTTCATGGTATCTGAGCTGATGGTTCACACAATGCAACAGAATTCAAGCTGCTTTGGCAACCGTTGACATTTTGTGTTGCAGTGGAACATATTTCAAGCTGCTATTTTAACAGCTGAAGTTGACATGTTGCAGTGTACGTGGAAAAAACTTGAATATCCTCTGGACATTGTATGTGTGATGAATGGTGGTCATGTTGAATGTTTGTAATCTTCAGAACAAACTTTGGGAGATTCTTCACAGATGATGAGCAAAGAGTCTGTGTTTTTCATACAGTTTTTATTCACAAGTAAAACTTAAACATAATTTTATAACATCCTACATTCTTCTTAGTTACTAAAATGTTAACTAAATGTATAGTTTTATAATGATCATCTGCCATAATTACTATATACAGATGGGATTCAGACAAGTGTCGACTATGTAACCTTGTCCTACAGTGTGGTTCACAGCAATGTAAATATAGTATGCAACACCCAACATTTAGATGGGTTGAACTCACTGTATCCTGCTGTTGATGTTATGCATGAAGAACAACTTGTCTGCAAGCCATATCAGACTTACACTGCGGAAGTACCTGGTTGGAATATCAGCTGAATACTGAATTTTGTATGGTATTTTTTTTCTTTAAGAACCATTTGTAACTTAGCTTTTGAGATATAAACTCACAAAGCAAGTTTGTCTGAAGTTATGATAAACTTCCACACCAAACACAATCACAATGAGGAAAACCTCTACCATTCCTTGAACATTACACAACCTATGACAAAGCAACCCAGTGCCCATTATCAGATCTGCATAACATATTATCAGAGCTGAGAATAAGTATAAATGCAGAAGAGTTTAAAATTACAGAATTTTCTTCATTACTTGTTTTTTTCCATTTTGTGCTTCTTGTATTCTGTGAGATGAACGCTTCTGCCATGGACAGGAAAGAAATATAACCATTGACAGCATATGTTCAGAAAACTTCAAATGAAGTGACCTATGAGCAGCCAAGAAGTCTGTATTTGGGTTAAACAAAAAGTTATCAAAAACTGTCCAATTGGTGTTACATTATATGCAGGTCTTATTGTGTACCTTGCTTATGCAATCTGGTAGACCGCCCCCACCCCCCCAAAACTACTTTTTCTCCCTGGATTTGAGGTTTTACTGCTTTTCTCCTTCAGTAATTGAGCCTGACAACATACTGTATCACAACACATGTGAAGTATATACGTCTGCTGCTGTATAAGATCCCAAGAATGAATGGGTGCTCTGATTTATGAGGATGGACTCCAGTATAACCGAGAAACTACCGTGGGACTGGTGGAGATTTTGGCTTTCAGCCAGCAATGATGCACATGTCAGAGCCAACATAACTTAGACAGGTGGACAAAGAGTCAGGAATACAAGCATTTCCTCTAGTTGGTTATATAATTTAAACTTTCATGCTTATAACTCAGAGAGATTGCAATCAAAATATTTCCAGTTTCTGACTGAAAACTGCAGCAAAATTCTTCAAGAATTAGTTGAATGAGTAAAGCAAAAGATTATGAGAAAATTTATACATTCAGTAAAAAATTTCATCCTACAATAATTATGCTCATGATAAAAGATAGTTGGAGAGAATGCCTTTGCATGTTTTTGGCTCTACTGTGAATTATCACAAGCCTTTCACTGCATAAAATCAAAGCTTTAATCACTTGACCTTGGAAGACTATACCATCTTGTCACTGGAATGTATTTTCATGTTCGAGAATCTGTTGTTTAGCTGAAAGAAACTAAACACCCATAACTCAACAGAAATGTGAACAAACAAAACCCAGAAAGTTTTAAAGTCAAATATAGAATTTACAAATACCACAAGTTGATTTCCTAAACACTTCGCTGGTAACTGATTTTATGGTTTTCAAGTAAGGAGTATTTATGTTAGAATATTTTACTGTCCATTGAAGGGATAACGCTTCTTTTTACATCCATTGGCACTGCAGCAAAAATGGTACCTTTCATAGATTTAAATGGCCTAGAATATTACAGAAATATTGTGGATTTGTAAGATTTGAGGCTTTCACGGCGGTGACTATGAGGAAAGCAGTCTTCTGGGATTTGGCACCGTGTATATGTGGTGTTAACCGACATTTCGGAGGAACGTATCGCCTCCATCTTCAGGGTAGAAGAAAAAGTATAAGAAATCTGCAAGCGACAAGACCGTGAGAAAGGTTTACCGTTTGCAGATTTCTTATACTTTTTCTTCTACCCTGAAGATGGAGGCGATACGTTCCTCCGAAACGTCGGTTAACACCACATATACACGGTGCCAAATCCCAGAAGACTGCTTTCTTCTTATTGTGGATTTGATGATATCTCTATTTTCACACCTTCTAAGTTGAAAACCCAACCTAAACCCCTATCCACTTCTCTGTTACTTTGAGATATTGGAACAGAAATGAATGTTACATAGAGATGCAATGTTTTACTTTCAAACTGAATCTGTAATAAAGGAAATAATATTTTTTATTACTTCTTGTGATGAACAGTAGTGACCTCTCAACGTCCTGTCATATATGAAAAGTCCATGTAAATATTAAGTACACATCCTCATAATAACAATGTGGAAAATACTCCCTCTATGAGTTTTCATACTTTAATTGTAAAGGCAGGTAATGTTTTCCCTGTGCTTAATGAATTGAGCACTACGTCATGAAGGCATAAGGGGGAGTGGATGCATAGATTACATTTTCTTGACCTTGGCACTAGATGGAGGTGAGTGGTCAGCTTCACGCCCCGGCTGCTTTACCCCCGAGAAAGATCCACCAGTACCCACTAGATAAGAGGCTGGGTGGACTCCAGAACCGGCCTGGATGACTTTGAGAAGAGAAAATTCTTGCCTCACTGGGACTCGAATTCCGACCCCTTGGTTGTCCAGCCCATAGCCAGTCGCTATACCAACTACGCTCCTCTGGCTCCTAATTTTATTGTACAAGGTGGTTCAAAAATGACCGGGACTGATTTGTGTGTAAACAAGCTGCACTGCGCAGCAACTGTGTGACCATGAGAGAGTGAAGCCACAACTACGACCCTCCCTCCTGTTAGGGTTAGAACCTGTTCAGTCCTGTCTGGGAGTTGCTAGAGTGATGAGCGAACAGAAGGTACCGCGGAGCGTGGAACAACGCATTGTGATCAAATTCCTCGTTGGAGAAAATGTCTCGTCCGCTGGAATTCACCACAGACTCCAACAACAGTAGGGGGAAGAGTGTCTCTCATGGACCCATGTGTTTGAGTGGTGTAAGTGCTTCAGAGAGGGCAGAGAGCGCGTGGAGAATGAACCGCATGATCGTCGGCCGCGAACATCCGTCACCGAGCCAAACATTGATCGTGCAGACGCGCTTATTCGTGAGAATAGGCGCATCACTATCAAGGAACTTGGAGCAATGCTGTCCATCAGTGTTGGTAGTGTAGAAGACATCGTGAAATACCACCTACACTATCGCAAGGTGAATACACGGTGGGTACCATGCACTTTGACGGATGTGAACAAAATGGTGCGCATGCAAGCTGCCAGTCATCTCCTACAGCAGTTTGAAGATGAAGGTGATGCATTTTTGAAGTCTATAGTGACCACCGATGAAATGTGGGTGCACTACTTCATTCCCGAGTCCCAGCAGTCATCACGTGAGTGGCGGCATACCAATTCTCCCAAACCCAAGAAAGCGCGGAGCTGCTCGGCAGGAAAAGTGATGGCAATGTTCTTCTGGGACTGGCAGGGGGTTATCCATGTAGACTTTCTGACAGATGCCAGAACAGTCAATGCAGCTTATTACTCAGACCTCCTGGCAAGAGATGTGAAGGGAGAGATCCGATCCATGCGGAAGACACGTGGGAAGCGGGTAGCCTTCCTTCAAGCCAATGCATGCCCCCATATGGCCAAAACAATGGAAACCCTCCGGAAACTGAAATGGAACCTTCTGACACATTCGCGGTACAGTCCCGATTTGGCCCCAAGTGATTTCTACCTGTTTGGAAGGCTCAAATCAGACTTGCAAGGCATGTGGTTTGTGGACGACGCCATCATCCAGACTGTTCGGGAGTGGATACGCCTCCAACCACAAGCCTTTTTCGAAAAGGGCATCAGGATGCTTCCAGAATGTTGGAAAAAATGTGTTGACTCCGGAGGGGAGTACATTGAAGACTGACATGTGCAAGTAAGTGTCTGGCAATTATGTTTTTTTTTTAATCAATCCTGGTCATATTTGAACCACCTTGTACATTCATCAATTATGCTCAGTTTTCAAAACTTTACTGTACATGCTGTATATCAATCAGTGGTCTTTTTATTTACTTCCTGTCCTTTTAAGCATGTTTTCTGTTGTGACATTCTGGGAAAACTCTATTTCTCCTCTGTTTTCATATTTTCACCCATCATCCTCTTCTTTTCTTTTTCTTTCCTACTCTCACAGACGTGCTATAATCAAAGCATCCACTTGTGTCCCTGCAGGTAATACTTCTAATTGTTCTGTTTTGCCAGGAAGATTCAGGAGACAGTTGGCAGATGAGAAGCTCAGCAATCGACTACTTATCTGATTCCCTGAAACAAAATTAATAAACAATACCACCTTCTGGGGTGTAACACTGTGTAGTCTTGATAGACGTTCACCAATGCTGAAGGGGAACATACTGCCTCCATGTTGAGGGTCTGCTTCTTGCTGGCTCTGCCTACTCTTTGACCCTGAAGACGCAGGCAGTATGTTCCTCTGAAACATCAGTGAACTTCTACCAGACAACGCGGATTTACGCTCCAGAAGAAAGTACTCTTCAAGACTGATATTTTTGTTACTGAGTGGTCTAACCAAACAAATTATGTCACTAAAAATTGGTCTTAATCTCAGTATCTACAAAAATAAAGCGTTAACTGTACTCCAAATATAGAGATGTCAGTACTGTCAATCACACACACACAAAAATGCATGGGCTAATACCACTGGCAACTGATCATTCTGCAAGGTCAAAAAGCATGAATACATTCAGACTGATAACAAGTGAAACGAATTAAAATGACATAAGCCACTCTCTCTAGTCAAAACATACTACCCACAAGTCAACAGCAAACAGTATCCTAGATTAAGGTGATCAGATGACCTGATTGTGAGCAAGATGTCCCATTGTCCCAATAAAGATTAAATGGGTTGCTGAAACAGTCCCATTTTTTCTAACAGTGCCATTTTATAAGTTATATGAATATTTTATTTTGCAAATGGCCACAAGTTGATGATTTGCACACGATGGGGTACCCAAAAGAAACCGAACTAATTTTTTTGTGGACAGAGCTTTTGTAGTACCGCGTTTTGCCGCTATGAGCGCATAGAGCTAACATTCCTGAGTTGATAAGCTGACTACCGTTGCTTCAGAAGGTAAGGACTAGTTTCGGCAGAGTTTATAGTGACAACTGTTTTGTCGTTTTTGCAATGGCTGATTTTCGTGAACAGCGTGCGGCGGTGAAATTCTGCTTTCTGCTCGGGAAAAGTGGAACAGAAACTACTGAAATGTTAAAAACGGCATACAAGGACGATGTTATGGGGAAAACTCAAGTGTTTGAGTGGTTTTCCCGTCTCAAAAATGGTGAAATGTCAATTGGTGACAAACCTTGTTCTGGTCATCCTTCCACGGCCCGAACACATG